TTTAAAAAAAAAAAAAAAAGACACAAAGTAGTTTAGCTTCATGGGACAATTTCTTCTGGCATGTCATAGGTGTTTGTTATAGAATTGAAAGGTTCTGGATGCCATCCTTTCTGATAAAATGATGCTTTCATTTTTGTTTGTCTATGGATATAATGAATATGTTTTAAAAAATTTCAGTTCCTGTGCAGTTTTAAGTCTTAAGTAGTCTTAAGAGTGATCCTTCTTTTTTTTCTCTCTTTGCTTTAGCACCTAAGGCACCTGTGGTGAGCAGCCTTGCCCCTGCAGGTGCCAGACCAGCATGGATGAGGAAAGATCAGCCTCACACTCAAAAGCAATTTGTCTTTGAAAAGCCATCAGAGGTAAAAATTACATGGTAACTAGCAGAATCTCATCCATGATTAAACTTCAAATGATAAAAAGGATAAAAAGGATAAAAAGTACTTTAGAATATGGTCTGTTGTTTAAAAACAATTAAAAACAGCTGAGCTGGACTATGGGCTTTTACGAAACAGAATTTACAACTATCTTGCATATAATGGCAAACAGAAAAATTGCTGTTCTTCTATTTAACCTGGTCATAACTACTGGTTTTTTTTCACAGAGCTGAAAGAATATGTTCTCCTGAATATTCAGAACGATGCAATGTCCTAATAAGCATTGAGCTCTTTTTGTTTTCCTCAGCTGGGATATCTGTCTTGTTGCAGGCAAAGAGTATAGAATTTGTTTCATACACCTAATGTCCCGTCAGCAGATGAAGATTATTGTGCTCTTTGCAGAAAGAAGGCAGTTTCCTTCTTGGGAAAAAAAAAATAAATCATGGGCACTTTTTTCTAAGCTAGACTTATTTCAAATGCTTGGAAGAATTTAAGATGGTCTGGGAAAGTTCTCCTTTCTCTGGGGCAGAGCCCTGGTATCTATATAGTAGTATATTTTAATCCTCTTGCTGGTGCAGTGCAGTACCTCCTTGCATTTCAGCACTCTGAGCTCAGAGCAGAGAAGCAGAAATCCCTGAGATAACCAAAATGGTAGCCAAGGCTGGATTAAACTACTCTGTCTTTTGTTTTAACAAAAACCAGCTATCTCAGCTGTGCAGACAATTTTACAGCATCAGCTCTGGCTATGTTTGGCTTTTCTTGTGTTTTGCTCACTGACTGAGGCCTGGGGTTTGTTCATCCATCCTAAAGTTAACCTAGATTTTTACTTATGTAAGGATATTTTAGTAAATGCAAGGTTAAGAATTTTCTTGGTTGCAGTTGACAAATAGCAAGTATTATAATAAATCCAAATAAGTTAGAAATCAATGTCCTTTAGGGGGCAGTTGATTGGTAAAAAACAGCCTGCAATGGTAGCTGCATTTGAGAGTTTTTGTGGCGTGGAGGGAGCAGGTGGGTTGTTACTGCTCATGGATTGTCCAGAGTTATGTTTTCCCACTGGCATATCAGTGTGTGGCTATGCAGAGTCACTAGAGCAGACCTTTAGTTCCATTTGACTAGAGTGTGCCAGGTACTTAAATATTTAATATTCAATGTGCACTCCCTTGTTACCTTTCAGGTGGAGCGCAGAGTTCCTGAGGCAGGTGTGATAGAGTGAGTACACTGCTGACTTAACTGTCCCTCCTGCAGTTTTTCTGTCATTATGGTTGGTGGGAATCTGCTGGAAAAAGAGTTCCTTTTTCACACACAACTGCCATGCCTTTGGAAGAAATTTCAGTAGAAAATGTGGACTTTCAACCCTTTATCCTGGGCTGAGCATATTATCAGGAGAGTCCAAGTCTGTTAACTGGCTTTTATAGCTTTGGTGTAGCTGTGTAAGCCAGGAATAATAATTATTGGACATCTTCTCAGAATAAGTTTGGCATGAAGTGTGACCGAGTGTGGTGGTGTATGGTGAAGTTAGAGATAATGAAAATTAAATATTCTTCAGTTTGGCTATCTTGGTAGAATTTTCTTACTCAGTATGCCTATAAATGCATATGTAGTGATCCGAGTGCAGTCTTGTGTGGTTGTCTCCTTTAGGTTCCCTCTAACATCCCTGTTTTATTTATCTCTAGAGCCCTAAAACTTGTATTGAGCCTTTGGTGAAAGGAAAGACAGGAAGTGCACACACACTCATTTGCTTCTGCAGCACTCCTTGCTGCCTTACTCTGACCTCTATCTCTGGGACATTATTGCTTCCCTTTTTAAATTTTCTTTTCTTTTTTAAAGAAAAATTTCCCTACTCGAGGCCTGCAGCAAATGTAGTCTGTGCTGCTCAGTCTGAGATAGTTTCTTGTTGTTTATCTTTCTGATGTCTCTTTTCCCTTCTACATCCTAAGCAAGCCTGGTGTGTATGAGCTCAGCAAAGGACCAACTGGCATTTCTAGGTGAGTGGCTGAAACTTGTTACTTGCTTTTGCAGAGTGATGTGGTGATACTCAGATTTCTGAAGCCCAGTCTCTGCAGAGCATTCTGACTCTAGCAGCTGCACACTGCCCTTCCTGTGTATCATCTGTTTAGAGTACTTCTGGAAATACTTTGAGTATCAGGTAGCAGAGATTTACGTGGTTCCGAGCAGCACTGAAGAGATGAAAAATAAACCTCTTGACATCTAGTGGGTACTGCATCTGGTGTGCTTGCCTGGCATGAGGACAAGGGGCTTTGTCCATTTGATTCATGATTCAGAATAAGTTGCTG